CCTTATGAAATTTTAATATTTCAAGATTGACCTCATCTTTACCTATTTTACATTATAACTAGTTTTATTGCCCGCGCTCCGCACTGGGATTTGAGATTTATTTGGCAAAATAGACTGAATGTGTTTGGAGAGCAATATATGTTTTACACAATTTATGTTGTTTCATGTTGATTCGAGTAAATTTCATTTCTAGTGCAGAAACCTTGAGGTAAAAGCTTTGAGCAGCTTATTGGAACAAATCCAGTTACAGTTTGTTGCCTAATTATCTACCGAGGTAATACTCAAAAACAAAAAATAATTATTACAAAAGATGTACATATGTAGGATCAATAAAAGAGCGGATATCCAGATGTCCAATACATAATATGTTTCTTCTTTTACTCTGTTCTCACAAAATAAAAGAGCAGATATTCATGTGTCCAATGCATAAAGAAACTATTTCTTCTTCTCCTCTGTTCTCACAAACCTTCGTCCCTTTCCTATTAAGAGAAAATAAATCATGGACACGATCAGTATAAAAGGATACATGAACGCCTTACATAATCAGTACACACCAATTAAAATGAAATAACTGTGGCATACCAAGAAACTGAGTGACCAACAGGTATACCAATTACTCAATTAGGACGTGGGATATGGTAGGTTTAATCGTTGCAACTGTCAAAAACACTCATCAAAACCAACCGAGTATCCGGATAGAGAGCCATACTAAAGGGATTTCACAGAATACCAACCGTGATTGGCTAGTATTTTCATCGGAGACCAAGTCTCGTCAACCAGCAGAACCATAGACTTCATTTTCCATTCGGACCACAAATCTCCTAAATCAAGACCTATAACATCAAAGAGAAATGAAAACTTTAAAAAATGCTTACTCCTGAAGACTTCCATGAATATCTTTCACTGAATCCGAAAAAAAAAGAGCCACGAAATTAAATTCAGGTCCGCGAAAGGACCTCAAGTATTAAAAGGAATCTGCCAATGAAATAGACTCCAATAAACTAATTAATTAGAAAGGTAATGTTTGAATACCATGGATTGAAGACAGTAAAAGCAGGAAAAAAGCCACCTACTCTAACGACTTATTTACCAAGAGTTCATAGCAAAGATAATTAGAATCCACCATGGAGACTTGGTTAAGCACAAATGAAGCATGAATAAGCAAGGAAAGGATGAGCAAAATCATTTAAGTTACTGGAAAAATCAGTAAATCCACAATTTGCAAAAATAAGAAAGAAAGAGGCTACCCAAGATCCAATTAGCAGAAACCCTTAAAAAAGTAAGAAACTCGCATCAAAGCGAGAGAGAAATAGCGCGGATTACTCAACTCGAGTGCAGCCAAGGTTCTCTCCAGCGATCCCTGGTGGCTTTGAGGATCTCCGACAAAGAAATTGAAGCACAACAATGCATCTCTGTCGCCTAAGCCGGAGAAGAAGTAAGGGCTTCAAAACATAGATTGGAAAGAACTAAAGATTGAACATAGATTGAAAAGAACTAAAGGGTAAAGAACTAAATAGCATACCTGCTGGCTTTCATCCTACCATTATCACAATCGTAAATCTGGGATATTCGACACCCGATTCTCCCGTCATTGCCCTGGAAAATCTGAGAAAAATAGAAAAACAATAAGCTACTCACAACAAAGTAAGGAAAAAAGAGTATCGAGATGACTTAATGAAGGGATTCTGGGTGTTTACGGGAATTCTTGAACCCTATAGCACCAGATTGTCTCCTTCACAGAACATATTCAAGAACTGACTTGCATTGCGGCAGCTTCAGTAGTTGCTGTAACTCGGCCGCCGATGTTGGAACAGCCGATAACTAAAAGCAAAATAAATTATTAACGATGAAATCGCCTCCACAAAAGAACGAAGGAAGAAAAATATAAAACCAAAAGAAGCTAATATATCATTACCTGGCTGCCGAGAGACTTCTCTCTTGATCGACACTTCTCTCGATAGCTCCGTCCATGTTCACCATCACAACAGCTTCAATTGGAGATGAATTAATCTGCGAACAGAGGAAGCTTGGAATTAGAGAGAGAAACTGGAGCAAATACAGAGACATAAAGAGAACTGTATTGAGGTAAAGAAGAGGCATATGCGAGAAGCTAATAAGTGAGTGTTGGGGTCTCGTGCCCATGTCTGCACCATAAACATGTGGTGGAAATAAACCCACCCAAGCTAACAGCTTTTTCTCTCGGTCACTCGAGTGCAAAAGTGACGTCTGACTGACATGAAAACCTGGAAAGGCACACCTAGACCATTAAGAACCTACCACAATCTTCCTCTAATCGGATACACTATCGATGAAGCAGCAAAACCAAGTAGGCTGCCTCTCCTTTTCAGAGCGATCACAGCGTGCGATAGTAACAGAAAGAGTCCCTAACCAGAGCTAAACAATAGTTCCAAAATGACTGAACCATCAAGTTGAGTTGGGAACCAACTAGAACTTCCCTGCACCCGCCCACACTCAATCCCCTTCCGAGTTGAAACAGTATAAATGAGTCACAATTTACAGTAAAAGGTCTCTTGCTGCACATGAAATGACTATGTTGGAGGTTTTCTTTTTTCATTTAATCAATTAATTAACAACAAAACAATAATATAAATATTCAAAAAATTGCAAACATGAGTTAGATTATCTATGCCCATTTTGTGTTGTAGTTTCCTTTGACCTTTTCATAGAACGTGAAATTCTTTGTTCTCCCGATTCTAATATATATTGTCATATGTTACTTTTGAAATGGAAGAAAAGAAATTGGTAACTAATATAAGTTACGTTAAAATTGAACATAATTTTCTTGTTTACTATTATTATACTCGTGACAATATATAGTTTTTAGTATGTATTGTCCTTGTTTGAGTACATATAAAAAATATGATAAACAAATAGAGAAGGGTAGTAAGGTAAGTTTGAACTTTAAGTTCTAAATCCCAAACCCTTAAATCCATGATCATGAATATGATAAACATCTTAACAAACAAAGGTTTGTTTCAAATATACAATGCCTCAAATCCTTGGGTTCTTGAATCACAAAACCTTCATTTTTAAATCCATGAAGCAACCGACCGCTAAGTAACCACCTCTAGTGCTAAGTGCTAACTACAACTCAAAGGCTAAAAGAGCATTTTAACCTCCTCGTCATTTTCTTTTTAACTGGGGATGTGGACTGTGCTTCTCCCATGAGTCATGACTGTCACCCAGGCCTTACTCACAAGAGGCTCTTCGGCGGCGGTTGTTGTTAAGCAAACAGTTTGGTCTTCCCAAGAACATTCTTTCGATTCAGAAACTCATGAGATTCCTCTTAGTCGTAAGAGTCTCTGGCTTTCTTCAAGAGATTAGGGATGTCATATGTGACTATGTCATCAACAGCTTGGATAATCTTGGGCTTCAACCTCCTTGAACTACTCTACATTTGGGAAATCACATGCAGCTAAGTGAAACTCCTTCTGAACCTGTAAAAAACATTCAAGGTCGACTGATGAGCTTGTGGCGCAAGCAACGAATATATAGCAATGAAAAGGTCAATTGTTTTGAGGCATTTAGGGAGAGGGAGACCTTTAAAAATTCGTCTGCTAAATTATCAGTTAGTCTTCGCTAAGCCTCTGCTTTACCTATCATGAATGGCATCTCCTTTTTAAGGTGGCCAATAGTGTGAGCATGTATCTTTGCAGCTCTTGCGCGCTTCACAAATTTGTCGATCTATCACAAGCAACCATCATTAGTTATTCCTTTACACCTAAAACTCAACCTAAATGATTATCTCCAATCCAGAAAACGATCTTCGCTCAAGTAAAAGACTTGCAGTATTTATAATGGTTGATATGGTTGTGAGATTTGTGTGGCATTTAAGGCACTCGGTAAAGGTTGGGATAAAGGCATATAGTTTGAACAACGATTATGTAACATCAGCGAACTAGGTCATGTCTTAAAACCAGCAAAGAGAGACAAGGAACTCACTTTGTGATCCAAAGCCTTCTTAGGTATATCTTTTATATCAGAGAGAAGGTCAGATTGGTCTGTCTCGATCATCTTTTTCCCAAGTGGCCCATCAACATTTTCATCTATTGGGTTGTCTTCGAATGAGCTGCCAGCCAATGAGAAGAATCAACAGCGTACATAAAGGCAGCACATGATCAGGAACAAGATAGCAATACATAGTCCTGAAACAAACTACAGTCAGCTGTGCAACACAGTGGAGGTACATAAGAGCATAACAAGGCAAGAATTTGTTCTTAAGAAATAAAAAACATGAAATGAGCTCGTTTTTGGTGGAGTCATTCCTAAAAACTACAAGCCTAGCTTGTAAAGATGATCTACTTCTAGCTACAACTGGCCACAAAATAATATTGATACCAACACATCTCTTGTAATCTTGTAATTAGGTTGATCTTTTACGTTCTACTTTTTGAGAATCCTATTATCTTCTGCCAGCTAGCAAGTGTACTAATTACAAGAGATCTACCTAAGTGTACTAATTACAAGTAGCTATAGATTCCAATGATCTACTTCTAGCTACAACTAGCTTGTAAAGATGATCTACTACTTAGGCATCAGGTTCATCATCAGCTACGCTAATTTCATACCAGATTCAATATATACTAGTCTACAATCCCAACCGAAGGCGCTATAAGTGAATATGAATCAAGAAACATAACTATGAAAAAAATCTGCATTCTTGTTATGGTGCAGCTGAGCTGAAGTTCCAACTTGACATCACATTATATGTGGTAAAACATATTACTACTATAAAAGCATACCATGTATAGACACGGATAGCTTCAGGAGTACTGAGGACTCTCGCCAATGACCACAACAAGGTTCCATGAACTTTTATTAGCTGCAAAATAGATAACAAGTGAATTACAATAATGGACAGACAATCTAATACAAGGTACTTGGAAGCTTTCTTACTCGTTCTTTATCAACTCCGTCTGCCCTGCTCAAAACTACCCTAATCTTGTTATCATGCCCGTGTAGAGATTAAATGACGCGCTTCAACTCGTGGCTAAGAAAAAGTGTGTGAGAATCAAATAGAAGGAGGATAAGATCACACTTGGATGCGAACCATGACATCACACTAGCAAAATTATAAGACCGTTCGATTTGTTGCTCACCAGACACTCCAGGTGTGTCTACAAATGTGATATGCTCCAGCAGCTTCACCAAAATAAAAACCATGTCTCACACACTAAAAGTGACCTGAAGATAGCATCATCCATCCTAATATAGCGAGGGACTTACAGGATGCGACATTTGAGAACATTTGAATTTTGACAGAAATTCTTTCCCAAAGGCTGTTATTCCATAGAATGGCATGTCTGGCTGACCCGCCATATTATTGCCTGGAATAGTTTTATCATCTGGTCCAGACTGCATAAGAAGCCACAGGTGTAAACCTATCATCTCAACAATTGAATGGGTAATAGATGAAATGTCAATTTAGCTAGCAACAAAAACTCCAAATACATAAAACATTTTACATTCTACTAGTTTCGTGCCAAAGCATCTATAGACATTAGATTTATACAAATAGATCTCCGAAGCATTAAAAGGGAAAAATTAGGAACATCAGAAAGCATTCAATACAGAAAAGAAAGATCAAACTGTTGAAACATGTAATTAAGTTTTAAAAGCCTGAGGCTAAGTTGTAAGGGGAGCTTCTCTGAAATATAAAGCTACGAACTTTCAAAGAGAGGACAAGAAAAAACAAATCCACAGCCCATGCAATGCTGCCTCATAACTCCTAAGGACTTAACAGGAACTTGAACTCAAGATCAGAACTTTTGGGGCCAGACAAGAGAATAACTTGCTAAAGACGAGCAATTTATACTCAAGAGTAAGCAAAACATGCACACAATCAAATTTGTTAAAACATAAAGATATGAAAGAGCTCTCCCAGTACCATAACTGCCACAAATCTGTCCGTGGTAGGTTCAGTTCCAATAGGAGCTCCTGCAGGAAATCCCAGGAAAAAGGGAATAATATTTAGTAGAGGGAAAATGAAGCCTTCAAGAGACCGCTCCAAACAAACCAGTCTAACCTAGATAGCTATGTTTAAGTAGATGTTTTATGAACGTTGTTTTGCCTGTGGAGTACTGACCCAATACCATAACCATGGGTTTGGCATCAAAATCATCATTTGTCTGCAATAAACAACACATCAATAAGATATTCGAATCATAAGTTAGAAAGATTTGAATTATCCAAAAACATGCATTTGCAGACATATCAAAACTATGAGGGACATTTGTACTAACTAATAGTGGAGATACAAAGCCATTATATCCATAAGTAACTTCCAATGGCTTCAGCTTTTGACGATACATCTTCTTCAAACCATCATTTATGGATTTCTCGGAGGAAGGTGAGACCTGACCATTGCATGATAATCAATGCATAAGAAAATGAAAGGGGTCAAGGACAGTTGTTATGGTGATCTACTGAAGAAAACACAAGCGTAATATGGATATCAACCAAAAACATATGCAACTTAGAGATGCAGAAATACAGCTGGAAGAGGATTGCATGAATCATGAACGCTACGAGCCAAAATATTAAATATCCATAGATCCCCTTCAAATGGATTCCGAGGAATAGGCAGTGACGTATGAGTAACACGCTTTCTCAACCACTACTCAAAGACAGTTCAAGATCCAAATAGAAATTGAGGAATGGAGGTTATCCAAAGACAACACTAGTCAGAAAATCCGCCTTCCTGGGAACCCTTTAATACAAAGGGATTGTATAACAGTATCTAAAAATATAGAACCTTCAGGATAGCCATGCAATTCAACCTGGTGAACCAGTTGACACTGCTATAGATATAAGGTCTACATGGGAGGGATAAGCACCTGAGCTACAGAAAGCAAGCACGCAATTTCTCCTTAATGCAATTGGTACGATAATCTTGAGCACAAAATATCTCATTACCTTTGAAAAAGCTAATAGCATCACTATCACAAAAGAAGAACAGTCCAACATAATAAATATGTACAGTTGGAACAAAACAAACCTTCTTTGCATAATTTAAAGAAGGAAACCAACGTAACAAAGGTGATGTTTCAACCTGAGGAGTACCTGCATTTTCACCAATCAATGTCAGCATACAAGCATAAACCAGGGCACAAACATGCATCACTACCAAATTTCCTCACCATTAGCATCAAAATCACTTGAGCTGGAGGTCGACATGTTTCTCTTATGCCCAAAAAATTCTAATGCCTAAGAAAGATCCACCGGAAATCGAAAGATCCACTAGAAATCTCAATAAACTTTATAAATTATGTGATACTTTGTCACTTTTGTTGTAAAATTGTAATAGGTCACAAAGGTTATGCAGATAAAACATTGATTCTAAGGTATCCATTACGAAACTATATACGATGTTTATAAACTAAATTTCGAGTCCAGTACCGTAATTATGCCTAGCAGAATCCTAATGATAGAAAGGGGGGAAATTTCTATATGCTACTCACGTGCTCGGGAAGCAGAGGCTGAACCCCATTGTAGATAATTGGAATCTGTTGCTGCTTGGGGAAGGCAGAGGAGTGAAGAAGCAGGGAACGTCGAGCGTCGACATTCCCAGAGACGCGTGGCGAAACCCTAGACAAGAACATGGCAATCGATTGATGAAAACGTTGGACGAGAGGAGGAAACAGAGTAGGCGCGAGATTGGAGAAGAAGAAGAAGAAGAAGAAGAAGGAGGAGGAGGAGGTTTGAGGTATTTGAAGGGAAATTGGGTTTTGTTGCTCGGAGGGAAAATCTGTTTGTGGCACTAATATGGTGGCGAGTTTTAACTGTAAATCTGTAATTACCCGTCACAGCCATACGATTTCTAAACAGCCATTTCGTGTACAACCCTTAATCACATGATTAAATCAATCTCAGCCATTGAATCTCATTTAAATTTAAGAGTTGTAATTGATCTCATTTAATGAAGGGTAATACAGTAACTGCAAATTTATTATTAAAAAATAAAAAAATTCCGGATTTTCCCACCGTTTGATTGCGATGTACGGACAACCGCCGCCGGATGCTGGATTTTCATCCCGGTGTCCTTGTTTGGATTCCGCCGTCCAGGGATTCCCGTCGAACTACCGGCAGTGCGAGGGATTTTGCATCCCTTCCCCATTTTGGTTTTGTTTCCGCTACACACACACACAGAGAGAGAGAGAGAGAGATTTTTGGTGGATTTTCCGGCAACGGTGGAGGAGTTCGGTGAGCAGAGCCCGCGGAGACTGATTTTCTAGCGACAATGTTGGATTTGTGATGTTTGTCGACCTATTTTGCAATGTTTACCAATTCGGTTTGTATCGTTTATCATTCTTTTTTGTTATTTTTGTCTGTTGTGTTTGTAATGTTTACATGACTAATTTGTATATATTTTGATTTATAATATTTGTTGCTCTAGTTTGTATACTTTTATGTTATGATTTGTATACTTTGTATTCATTGATTTGTAATACAATTTTACCGATTTGTATTGTAAGTAGTGTTATTTTGTAATGTTAGTATTCTTTGTAATGTTTGTCGATTTCTTCTGTAATGTTTATAAGGTTTATTACTTTTGTAATGTTTGTCGGTTTCTTTTGCAATGTTTGTAAGCTTTGTTATTTTTGTGAACCATGTTTGTCATTTTTGTGAACCATGTTTGTCATTTTTTATGTCTAAAAAACAACCTGGTTGACTTTGTAATGTTTGTTTGTCTAGTTTGTAATGTTTGTTCGTCTTGTTAATGGTTTACACTATAGTATGTAATGGTTATCAATCTGCTTTATAATATTTATAGGGCTGATTTGTAAACATCATACTTTGTAATGAAAATATAGTGACAAAGTACCCAAAAACATACTAAGAGTACAAAGTATGAGTACTTACAATACAAAATGACATGATTTACATCACAAATCAATACATATAAAGTATACAAATTAAACATACAAACCATACAAATCACACTGACATTATTTACAAAAATACTAACAATACAAACCGACAACACTTTCAATACAAATCACTGTTCTTCCCTCTCTCTCCACCGTTGTCGCTGCCGTCGACTCTCTCTCCACCGATGCTGCCGCCGACTCTCTCTACTGCCGTCACCACCTCTCTCTCCATCGTCGCGCCGCCCTCTCTCCTCCACCATTGTCGAAGCTCTCTCTCCGCCACGATCTCTCTCTCTCCACCATCGTCTCTCTCTCTCCCCTCTTTTTCTCGACGACGACGACCGTTGCTGCCTCTCTTTATCTCTCCATCGCCGCCTCTCTCTCATCCATCGTTGTCGTTGTTGCCGTTCTCCGACAAATCCGCCTCTGGCGGCGTTTCTCTCTCCTCCACCACCGTCGTGGACATCACCTCTCCATCGACGTTGTCGCATCTCTCTCCTCCACCGGCGTTGCGATCTTTCTCCTCCACCATGTCTCTCTCTCTCTCTGGACATCACAAGAATGGGGAAAGGAGGAGACTATTGGAGAGGGAAAAAAATAATAACAAATAAAACAAAATCAAATTATGAATTAATGAATTTATGATAATGCCAAAACTACCCTTCTATTTAATAATAATTCATCACTTTATCTGGACCATTAGATCAATCCAAAGGCTATGGTGGGCTTAGTCAAGTGACTAAGGACCCCCCCTTAGTCACCAGATCCGGACTCCCAGAACACTTGCTATAGGGGTTGAATGAGAGAATACTAAGAGCATCCACATCAATGAAATTGTAAAACTAATTCATATTATTTATATTTTTTTTTTCAAACTTTAGGCAATCCAACTCACTTTTATTTCATTGCTCTTACATCAATGCAATTCACTTGCAGTGACATATATGAGAGTAAATGAATTTATAATTACTAGCTTAGAGCTTGCGCGTTGCGCAATTAGCTCTAGTATTGGTATTATTGTTACTGTTGTTTTGCCGTTAATTTATAATGTGTTCAGTTAAAAAGCATACACATCACTTATGTCTATATTTGGATTAAAATGCTTTCAACAATAGGAGTCTATTTCAAGCAGAATAGGAGGTAGAACTTAGAAGCATTAGACTATAAGAGGTATCTGGTGAGAGAAAATTAGAAAAACCGTTTTCAGAATAACAATGTCCCCTAACTGAGCAATATGAATCTGTGAAAGAATGTATAAAATTAAAAATATAAAGTGGTAAAGTACAGCTTGAACGTATTGGGTGGAAGAATTCCAATTGTATTGTCGAGTTCTTTTGTTGGGGTATCATCAGTCTTTTACCTTTCTTGGTCATTTCAGTTGTAGAAAAGGATATGAGTTGACGAGGACAACAACGAAATCGGGAAAGTACACCAACTGAAAACATGTTAAATGTTTTAGCCCAGGCAAAGGATATTACTAAGAGTTACTAAAGCAATTACATCTGTCCAATTAGAAAGAACCGAAACTAAACTAATGCAGGAGGGCTAAATCTTGATTACCCACAATGAGGTCCGTTTGACAGTGGAGAAATAGTAGGAGGGGTCAGAAGGTTATTAGGAGTTCAGGACCCTTCCTTGGAAGGTTCAATAGGCAATAGCCGCCTATGTTATGCACTTATGCTGGCGTGTGTTTCATGGTGGATTGATGAGTAGTTGCTTATGACTATGTTAACTATGTTTGGAGTCAAAACTCTAAATTACGTCACGGTAACTGGTAAATTAAGGTCAAAGACTACCACAACACCAGCAAATATAAACTAGTGAAGCTAGATTTGTGAAATTTCACCATATGCAATAGCTAATAATGAATTTAGAAAGGGGAAATAATGTCAATGAAGAGGTAAACAAACTGTTTATGTCTAACTGAGAGTATGAGTGAGACACGAAGAGATTGGGGTGCGAGTGAGGAGTATGGGAATCATTCGAACACTTAGAGAGAAAGGAGGTAATCAAGTAAGGCAAGGAGAGAGTTTCAGAGAGAGAAACTTCTTGAATTCTTAGAGTGATAAAGGAAAAATGGATCACTCACCCACCGGGGTAAATACTATATTTATAAGCTCCCCTCGGTGGGTGGGTATCTCAGGTGACAAGACATTCGGACAAGACACATAACTAGGGTATAATTAGGTATACAAGTGAGAAGTGACTGCATGTCAGGGATACGACATCGTCTTGGTCTTCACATTCCGCGGGTCTGTTGGGTCACGCAGATTTGGATCGCGAGAGGCTTCCCATGAGTTGACCATAGAGATATGCTCTACGACGTCGTCTTGGTCTTCTCTTTTCGCGGAGCTCGCGGGACGGGCGGCTTAGTCCGCGTAGTGAATATTGCAATGTTGTGTCCTCGTAGAGCGGGTTGGAATGGGCGCAGAAAGACCCATGAGGTATTACGCGTCCTCTGATGCGTTGGTGGAAGAGCTAGAGCCCGAGCTATGCCCCCCAACAATTCCCCCCCATCAGGGGGTATTCCGCGAATGTCGCCTGGTATGAGTTGTGTAAATGCACAATAGCTCGGGCGTTCTTTTCTTCTTGTTTGTTGCGTGCTGAAGATACATTCCGCGAATGCTCTCCAACGCGGGGTGATTTTTTTTCCTCTTCTTTTTATTTTATTTCTATTATGCGGTGTCATTTTTCCATACGCTGGGGTATCATGCCCCCCAGGCGGTGCGCGGACTAGTGGGCGGTGCCTCCTTGCCTCTGCGTTACAGCTGCTTGCCCCCCTCATGTCTCTTGGTGTCGCTTATCCATGTGGCAGCTTCCTATTCGCTCGTTGTGGCGGTTATTCCTTGATATTTTGAATTTTGAAATTCAAATTGTTGATGTGATGTTTGCACTTCTCGAGGTGGTTTTGCCCGGTTTGTTCTCTCACTTCAAGGCTAAAAATTAGTGTTTTCGGGGTTTTAGGATTCACTTTTCTCCCCAACGTTCATCTTTTCTTTGAGAGAAAATTCATCTTGTGAGATTCCTCCCCTTCATTTGCAACCTTATTTCTCCTGCTCGTGTCTTCGATCCTTATTTCAATGGCCAGTAGCACTAACAATGCGGAGATCAAGGTCGCCATCGACGAAGAAGGTAATCTCTCTTCTCATTCTCCAGTTTCTACCGATCCATATCTGGATTTGGATGAGTCCGGCGCCGATGGGAGAGGCGGAGCAGTTGCTGGTGGGAATCCGTCGACGCCGTCCTACGACGTCGATGCCGGGGACGACCTTCTACGCAGTTCGCCGGTGGGAAACGATCAACAGTACCGCGGGGGTGGCGCGGTGTCTGGCGGTCAGGGGTACTAATCATTCGGCGGGGGAACACTAGTAGTTCTAGGTCTGGCGCGGTTACTGTCGCAGAAGCGTCGGAGACGGAATCAGCTCTTCCTCCTCCTCGAACACGCGTATCGGAGGCTATGAGCCCAGCTCGGCCCCTGTTATCTCGATGCCCACTACACCATTCTTGACTGGGCGGAGATGTTTGAGATGAGTTCGTTGGCCATGCCCAGTGATAACTTGTTGTGGAGCCCAGATCACTGTTCAGTGTTGGGGCGTAAGGAGGTCACGGATCTTGTACGCGAGCTAGGGTTGCCCTCCTCGTGGTAGTACGCGGTGCCTAGCGAGCGGAGTCGTATTGGGAATTGCCCCCTTGGTGGCTCGGTATATACCCTGAGTATTGGCGGATGGGTTTTAAATTCCCACTTGACCCCTTATTGTGTGCCATATTGCGGAGACTGAAGTGCTCTCTTGCACGCTTGTCTCCCTCTGTGATGATGCACGTGTCCAGGCTCCGCGTCGCCTGCAAGCATCGCAGAATTTCGCCTACCTGTGGCTTGTTCTACGCATTCTATAAGTTCAAGGCACCGATCGAGAAAGTGAAGAGTGACTGCTTGTCTTTGCGGAGGCGTGACAAGCGAACTGATGACTATGTGTACGGTTCGCCAAGTTCTTTTTTTTGTGAAACCTGCTCACGGTGAGTGAGCTCAAGAATATGTGGAGGAGCCCACGATTTGGAAGAATGTTAGCGTTAAGGGATTTGATTCTCACGTGGGCAAGTATGACGGCTTGGATGATGAGGTGGAGGAGCTGTTGGAGGAGAAGATTGATCTGTACCATAGTGGCGTCCGCGCGGCTCGCCTCTCGGAAATTTTTGATGATGGTTAGTTTTTCTCTGTTGTCTTTGCATTCTGTAGTATTAATGGTTCTCTTACGCCTTTTTGTTGTAGGGGTGGACTATTCATCTGTGGTGACAATGATGTCCGTTGACAACGTTGTCAAAGTTACCAAAGCATCTCGCGTGGAGAAGAAGAGGAAGGAAGTGGACCCACCTACGGCCATCGAAAGGGCGAGCAAGGCCGTGAAAGTGGCGGTGACTGTGCCGCAATAAGTTGTTGAGCAGGACCCTCGGGTTGGAAAGCCACCGCATCCCGACAAGGAAGCCACGATTAGCTCATCGGTGCAGCAGATACTGCCTGATATCCCGGGGTTTCAAGTTTTGGCTCAGATGCCGCTTCGGGACATACGTCTTCATTCTCGTGCCGCTTCATCCACCAATGCCGCGCAAATTTCTTTGCAAACGGTAGCTCCAGTTCTCCACATCCCTCTTCGTTTGGATGGTGCTGACTCGGTGCATTATCTGGCGCAACTTCACTTTGCCGTGAGTGTCCTTCCTTCCGCGGTTTTTCCTGCTCATTGCCCTGCCTGGCTTTTCTTTCTCTCTTGTATTTTCTACAAGTTAACGCACAGATTTATAACATAGGGGTTGCTCGCGACTTTTTGCTCCCATCAAGAGAGGGCGAATTATACCGCGACATTGAAGGCCAAACTTGGTAAGTCCATCACGCTAAAGGGTAAGGTCGAGAGCACCGAAAGTCGGTGCGGAGAGTGCAACCAAGAAGGCCAATGAGGCTTTGGAGCGGCTAGGCACATTGCAGATTCGGTTGGATGAGGAGATCACCGCGGAGATGCGGAAAGAAGCCATACTCGGGGCGAAGAACAGGAGGCCGTACTCTAGGAGATGCGGAAAGAATTTGATCAAAAGATGCAATGGGTTGCTAACGAGAGGGCTGAAGAGAGGAAGCGGCTCGAATTGGAGCACGATGAGGCAATGCAGAAGCTCCGCGATGACTTTCGTGAGGAGAAGGGGGAGCTTGTGCGCCTGCATGAGGTGGCAAAAGTTGAGGCTGTTCGTGATGCGGAGGTTGCCACGGTACAACAGTACAAAGGGTCGGTCGCCTTTCACAAGATCCTAGCGTTCTGTATGACTAAAGCGGTCATAGCCATCCGCAAGAAGGTTCACCCCAGCAACCCCAGCATGCGGTGGAATACCGTGAATATGATACGCCACGTTCAACGCTGGTTGAGTGAAAAGCGATTGTTGGACCCCGACTCCGAGCTTGGAGTTGATGAAGAGAGGGACGTGAACGGGGCAGGTGAAGATGGTAGAGTTGTAATAGACTAAGACGCCCGTGTTTTGTGAAACTGCTTGGTTAATTTGGGACTAAGTGTTTGATCATTCCTTGGGGCTGAGTGCCCCTGTATCCCTGATATGTAATCCAAAATTGCAACTTTCCATTATATATATATATATATTTATATTTATATATCCCATATATGGTAATATTTTTGTTGCTCATGTCGCAGTAATTCTTGACTACCGCTTTTGCGTTGAGTAAGTACCATCTCGGTTCTTTTGTACGATTCATGATTGCGCGGTTACGTTACAATATTTGTACTGCCATTGCTCGTATGTTTGCGTTGAAAGATATCATGTTCTTATTCCTGCTTGCGCATACATAACAAGTACATTAAGAGGCGTTACAATACTTCCTTAAATTTTGAGCGTTCCATGTTCTTGGGATCTTGGCTTCCGCCAAATCTCGCAACTTGAACGCGTTTGGTCCAACTACTTCGTGAATCAGATATGGCCCTTCCCAAGTGGATGCCAGCTTGCCATGTCTGGGGTCTGGGCGGAAGTTCCGCCTCAACACTTGGTCTCCCAGCCTGATGTTATGAGGGACTAACTTCGCGTTGTAGTATTTGGCTATCTGAACTTTCGCCGCGGCTAGTTTGATGGATGCCAGTTCGCGTCTTTCCGTTGCCAGCTCCAGATCCATTAAGCGCGCCGCGTCGTTACTTTCTTCGTTAAACATTGTGATCTGGTATGTGGGCATTGATGTCTCAATGGGAATAACCGCGTCAGTGCCATATGTGAGTGCAAATGGCGTTTCGCCTGTGGCAGCTTTGAACGTGGTGCGGTGTGCCCATAGTATCATGTGGAGCTCTTCCATCCAATTGCCCTTTGCCTCGCCTAAGTGAGTGTGAAGTCCGCGAAGGATTGCTTTGTTCATGGATTCTGCTTAGCTGTTGGCTTGCGGGTACGCTACTGAAACGAAACGAGCGATCGCGTCGATTTTATCGCTAATGTCGATGACTTCGGCGTAGTTAAACTGTTTCCCATGGTCGAAAATGAACGTGCTTGGTACGTCGAACCGCTTCAGTACATTGTGCTTAGGAAGCGGATGACCTGATGCGCTGTGATGGATGCTACGCCTCTGCTTCGATCAACTTCATGAAGTAATCAACCGCCACAATGATGTATTTGTGTTTTCCCTTTGTTGTTGGGAAGGGGCCTAGAAGGTCCACCCTCCATTGTGAAATGGCCACATACTTAAATTGCCTTGAAGCTCAGTGGATGGTAGGTGATGCCGTCGAGCGTTTACTTGGCACTTGTGGCACTCTGACACAAATTTTCTCGTATCTTTTTTTTTTATCCGCGGCCAGTAGTATCTGTGGAGTAGGATGGTGCGCTCCATGGATCGGGAACTGCTGTGCATGACGCACAGTCCCATGTGAACGCTCTGTATTATGCTCTTCGCTTCCGTTGGACCTACACATTTAAGGTATACGTCTGAGTATGCGCGGCGGTGTAGCTCATCGCCAATAAAGGTGCCACACAACGCTTTCTGCCTCTGCGCCCATGCCTCTTTCGGGTCATCTGGAGTGGATCCATCATTTAGGTATTGATAGACCGTTAATTGAACATGTTTTTACCCATATTCTTGAGCCGTTTGAGATGTTGATTCTCATGTTTTAAGCCGATTTCACGCTAGGTTGTGCGTTTATGTCATATCTCAGGATTAGCGTTGGCATCAAGGCGAAGAAACGAGTTTCGGGTCGAAAGGAGCACGTTTGGGTTGAAGTGTACTGGAGGAGCAAAATGTCCGGCCATGAGCAGAAATACCCGGCCGGGTATTATTTGGAGCATATCGGGGAAAATATGTTTTGTGTGTCTGAGAAGCAGAAGGGGGGCCCGGGCATAAATCATAAATCCCCGGTCGGGTATTCTTGACCTTGACCGGGGATTAACCCCCTGTCCCCGACGGTGCGTTTCAACAATCCCCGGTCGCCACCTAAAATACCCGACCGGGTATTCGGACCGGGGATCGCGAACGCAGACTGTTAAAATCCTGTTTTGTGCGTTTCGGCAGGGGAGAGCGGGGTTTTGGATCCAAACACCCTAGGGACGAACTAAAGAGAGAGAGGGAGATTTGAGGGAATTCTTGGAGTGGAGTTGGAGGATTTCTTCGCCTTGGAAGCTCGAGGAACAAGCCCAGACTTGAAGACTGATCATCTGAAGATTCTTACTACAGTCTCTCTCTTCTCTATGGAGTAACTTCCCTTCACTTAGGTTTTGAGGAACCCTAGCTATATTTGTTTGATTGGATGATTGTATGAGTACTCTTACTTGATAATCTTGAGTTCATATTCAATCTATGCAAGTTTTCATGATTCAATTCTACTTTATAATCTTTGATTAGGTCAACAGAGCACCATAGATTGATAGTATTGGATCGATTGCTTTAGTCGAGGGTCGATTCACTGCTTTGTATCGATTGAGAACCTCTTTCAATAGAGGGAGTCTAGTTCAGAATGCATTGATCGGTTGTTCTAGAGAAGGATACGTCCCTCTAGGCAATCGACTCAAGAGGGCCTTGATCCTTTAGTCGAGATTCAAGGTCTAGCCAAGGATTCTCTGCAATTGTGAATGAAAGTGAAACAAGTTAGAAATCATCAATCATTAATCTGGCTAGTGGCTAGGGGGAATCATACCTAAGTGAGTTCCCAACCTGTAATTAGATTAACTTAAACTACAGTTTGTTAGAGTAGTTTTAGTTCTTCCATCTTAATCTGGTTTGCTAGATAATGAACTGAAGCTGAGTAATAGTAACTCTAGAGACCCGTGGATTCAATATTTATTACTTGAGCCACTATACTGCAGTCTCTTTCATTGGTTACACTTGGCCATTGTTAAGAGTTTCGTCATAGCGAGTCAAGTTTTTGGCGCCATTGCCAGCGACTTTCTAGATTATTAGGAAAGGCAGAAGTTCGTTACTTTAGCATTTTTTCTTTTCTTTTCCACCCTTGCTTTTCACTTGGGTGTTTTTGTTTTTGTTGGTGCAGATCTGAATCATGGATCCCCATGGCTTCTCTAACCATTGGGGGTATCCACCACCATCCGAGTGGTATTACCCCGAGACTCCCTGGAGCAATCAAGGAGGAGAAGACTATGGATTCGGGTTCCAATACCAACCCCCTTACTACGGAGAACAATAAGACCCCTGGGCATATCAAGAACAACCTCATTACCAAGAAGTCTTTCTCCTACAATCAGATGGGCCAGCGACGCTAGAGTTACCCATGGCGGCCTTCACGGGCCATTCTGCAGAGCCATGCTATACTCCACAGCCAGATCCAAACTATGAATTGAGACTTCTCATGGAGAATTTGCTCGAGACAGTGAGAGATCATGGTCCAGGATGGATCTTTGTACCCAGGCCTTTCGTGAAACAGAGGAGATCCTCCTAAGCATTAAGAAGAGCGTCGATGATCTTGAGCGATCTTATGCACAACCTGCTCCAGATCACCCTTATGCTATCATACTAGAAGAGGAGGAGGAAGAAGAAGGCTACAAGGACATTGTGGAGCACACTGAAGTTGTCACGGAGAGATCCCGTGATGATCATGATCAGGAATGTCCTGTCATAGCCGAACACACCTTCCCACATCCCAAACTGAGCTTTGAAGAGGCGGGCATGAGTGAGGAGATTCAAGAAGATCTCATGAAAGAAATTTCTTGGCAACTTGCTCTCCAACCCGTGCTAGAGAAGAAGAGCGAGAAAGGGTGCAGAAAGAAGTTGTGGAGGATGACTAAAGTGAAGCAGAAGGAGTTCTCGATCATTTCCCAGGGGTGATACCACAGGAAGAAGAAAGGGAGGTTGAAGAAGCAATTGGCGTCCAGGCTGAGGGCGAAGTTGAGGTGGAAGAGGCTTGCACCGACCATGAGTTACATGTGATATCTCCACCAAACTTCAAGGAACTGCTTAGCAAGGACCCATTTGCAGTGTCTCTTTACCAGACCACGGCCACGTCGACATCGGTCCCTCTTGGTGGACGAGAGAAGAGAAGAAGAGGTCTTGAGGGTGGAGACTTCATCTGCATTAAGTGCACGAGCTTCCATCACATGTCATACCACATGCTCGTGACTTGAGACTTCACCTCATCGAAGAGAACCTCAACTTCAAGGAGGTTTTGGGGTGGACCGAAACTTAGGAGCCATCGTCCGGCTCACGACGTGAAAGAAGTGCTTGTTGGGAGGCAACCCAACCAGTCGGTTTGCATTTCTTTCTCTCTTTCTCCTCGGTTGAGTTAGTTTTGCTATTTGATTTTAGAGTCAATAACTCAACCTTTGTGAGATTTTGTGTGGTGTTTGTGTTCCGACTACTCTCTCCTCCTGGAATGCACCGCCTGACCCGTCCACCGTCATTCACCCTTGATCTGGTAACTTTGTTCTACCCTGCTTATCTTTCCTCCATTGAGGACAATGTCGTGCTTAAGTGTGGGGGGATGTTCGATTGTGTATGCGTGTGAATGTTTGGCTGTTTGTGTGCTTGGAGCCTAGTCCACTGTTCAAAATTTTCAATTTAAGGGCTCCAAGTACGTGTTTCCTTGCAAATTGCCTCCTCAGTATGATTTGAATTGACAGTCTCTATAGTAATGTGCAACCTAGGGAGGTAGTGTAGCACTATGGAGGATGTTGAAGTATAAGATTTTTCCTATCTAGCTCTCTGCTGTGCCAGTTGATTTTGTGGATTAGTGGAGCTAAGACCGTTGAATTCATGTGGTAATGGTGACTCTATTTGGATTGTGTTATGGACTCGTGTATGGAACAGGGTGCTCATGTGGAAAATGAAAAGTAGTTGGTCCTCCATGTCGAAATCATTGAAATCTTAAAACATGGGGTAAGCCCAACGTGTGCGGCACCGTTCATTGCACAAAATCGGGTTTCGGAAGAGATTTTAGTGATCCTTAGTGGGGTCCTCCTACAAGGTGAAGCTAAGCTGTCTCTAGTACAAGTAAAACTTCCACCCATTGAACGGTTTGCCTACTCGAGGATGTGTTTTTATGGGCACGGATAGAGCTTCCGACCCCCCCTTAATTTCATTAACCCTCCACACCAGTTGACCTCGTAAGCTTCTATATGATCTAGGAAATTCTCTACCGACGATCGGGGTTGTTTGTTGCTATAGAGGTCTGGAGAGTTGCATTGGTTTGAGCTAGGTTTGCTTGGGGACAAGCAAACGGTTAAGTGTGGGGGAGTTTGATAGACCGTTAATTGCACATGTTTTTACCCCTATTCTTGAGCCGTTTGAGATGTTGATTCTCGTGTTTTAAGCCGATTTCTCGCTAGGTTGTGCGTTTATGTCATATTTCATGGCATCGAGGCGGAGAAACGAGTTTCGGGTCGAAAGGAGCACGTTTGGGTTGAAGTGTGGTGGAGGAGCAAAATACCCGGCCAGGTATTATTTGGAGTAGACCGGGGAAAATATGTTTTGGGCGTCTGAGAAGCAGAAGGGGGCCCGGGCATTAATCATAAATCCCCGGTCGGGTATTCTTGACCTTGACCGGGGATTAACCCCCTGTCCCCGAAGGTGCGTTTCAACAATCCCCGGTCGCCACCTAAAATACCCGACCGGGTATTCTGACCAGGGATCGCGAACGCAGACTGTTAAAAGCTTGTTTTGTGCATTTCTGCAGGGGAGAGTGAGGTTTTGGATTCCAAACACCCTAGGACGAACCAAAGAGAGAGAGGGCGATTTGAGGGCATTCTTGGATTGAGCTGGAGGATTTCTTCGCCTTGGAAGCTCTAGGAACAAGCCCGGACTTGAAGACTGATCATCTGAAGATTCTTACTGCAGCCTCTCTCTTCTCTATGGAGTAACTTCCCTTCACTTAGGTTTTGAGGAATCCTAGCTATATTTGTTTGATTGGATGATTGTATGAGTACTCTTACTTGATAATCTTGAGTTCATATTCAATCTATGCAAGTTTTCATGATTCAGTTCTACTTTAGTCGAGATTATTGATTCTGCTTTGATCCTATGAGAGCGAATACCTGATTAGGTCAACAGAGCACCATAGATTGATAGTATTGGATCGATTGCTTTAGTCGAGGGTCGATTCACTGCTTTGTATCGATTGAGAACCTCTTTCGATAGATGGAGTCTAGTTCAGAATGCCTTGATCGGTTGTTCTAGAAAAGGATACGTCCCTCTAGGCAATCGACTCAAGAGGGCCTTGATCCTTTAGTCGAGATTCAAGGTCTAGCCAAGGATTCTCCGCATTGTGAATGAAAGTGAAACAAGTTAGAAATCATCAATCATTAATCTAGCTAGTGGCTAGGGGGAATCATACCTAAGTGAGTTCCCAACCTGTAATTAGATCAACTTAAACTGCAATTTGTTAGAGTAGTTTTAGTTCTTCCATCTTAATCTGGTTTGCTAGATAATGAACTGAAGCTGAGTAATAGTAACTCTAGAGACCCGTGGATTCAATATTTATTACTTGAGCCACTATACTGCAGTCTCTTTCATTGGTTACACTTGGCCATTGTTAGGAGTTGTGTCATAGTGAGTCAGGTACCTTGTTATTGGCGTACGCCAATCTTCTTCTTCCACTTGTTGTGTTGTGTTTATTGTGGTTACCTGTTGTGGTTCTGGATCCTCCTTATGTGCTAACTAACACTAAGCGTGTTGAGTCAAAGTCGGCGGGGGTTGCCAGCTTTGACAGTGCGTCAACATGGATGTTCTCTTCCTGCGGTACTTGCATATAAGTTACAGCCTCGAATAGTGCCTCTTGTTGTTTCACCTGTTCGATGAAGAGTGTGAGTGTGTCTTCTTTTGCGTCTAAGATTCCGTTCAATTGATTTACTGCTAACACGTAGTCAGACAACACCCTTATAACTTTTGCGCCCAACTCTCTGGCGGCTGTAAGTCCTGCCAGAATTGCTTCATACTCAGCTGCGTTATTTTTTTTAGGGAACGAAATCGTATGGCGATTTCGTGTACGACACCCGCGGGGGTTCGTACCACTAAACCCATCAATGCCTATAAATCTCCTACAACCAGCCTTGAAACCCACTTTGCATGCTTCAAAACACACATGCATCCTTGCAAAAATGCCACCCGACTGCTCTATTATGACTGTAGATCCAGGGTTAGTTCTTAAAATCTCATCTTGATGCCTGTACAAGTTCTGAAATTGTTCGTCTTCTTCTCCACCAAGAAGTAACCAAGCTGTACACCTACATCTTTGTGCTTTAAATTGACTTATGTTGACACCAAGATCTTCTCGGACCGTTTGAATCAACAAAGGGACAGACCAAGTTGGATAAACTCTAAAACGAGTTAGATACTTCTTTGCTATCCATAAAGCCGTGCAAAATCGATTTTTAAAGATCCTTGGACAATGATCTGCATGATCCACGCAACAAGTTTTTATTTGAGGAGTCTTTTGATCAGACATATACGAGACCCATATCTTCCAAGGACATCCCTTATGTCAAACAACTTTAACCCTTGTTTTGTCACTCCTTGAAAATCTTATGTCCCTTTTATTCTTGATAGCATAATGACGAACATCCTCCTTAAACTCCAAAAATGACTCAAATGCTGTGATTTGAAGAACACAAGGTCTTTCATATTTGCTTCTGCATTGAACTGAGGGTATTAAACTTCATCCTTTTCCCCCTCTTCTACCACATGATGTAAATAATCTGGGTCCATATACTCGTTGTCCGAACCCTCATAAATGATTTTTGAATGTCCCCCTAGACGACCTGCCCTAAATTCATCCTCTATATATTGATCAAAGACCAAGTCATCTTCCTTATCATCCAAATCATTATCACTGTCTACAAATGACTCATCATCAGAATCTGTATCTTCTAAAGAGTCACCACGTTCTTCCTCAAAATCTTTAACTCTTTCTCTTCTAACTCGGCTTCTTTGACCTTCACTTT